AGTGGAGAAAGGCTGGTGTGTTTGGACATGAAACAGTCAATGCTAAATTGTAGGAGACAAGAAGCATAGGATTAAGGTGGGAGGGAGAGAGTTATGCTAAGGTCCAACACATTCAGCAGGGGAAAATGAGCCTTTGAGAAAATTTTCAGAGTTGAAGATTTAGATCTCTGTATTATAATTAAGTGGGTTGAGGCAGGAGTTGTGTGGAAGTTTGTGGCGGTGATCCAGATGAAAAATAGGCAGCCTAAACTCAGACAAGAGCAGAAAAACTAGGAGCAAAGGGCTTGAAGGCTTGCAGAGTGGTTCTCACATATCGGGAGATAGAAGTTACTAGGGTGCACAGCTGAAAGATTTGATGCCTGGGGACATCAAAATGTCTACATGGGTTTCAGAGAATTGTGCACATCCACGTTCTCACCTTGAAGGTATTTTTTTCTAATTAGCAGCCATTGAGGAATATGGTAATTAAAAGATATTTTCATGGGATAGAAAAATTACAAATATGGTTTAGCAAATTGAAGGTTTTCTGAGAGCAGCAACCTGGTCCTCAGGTAACTCTCAAGTAAGATAACAATTATCCATGGCACAGAGGTGCAAACCCAGGTGTGGAATGGGAAATAGCAGGCCCTTACTGGTTCTAATTCTTCAGCCCCGGGGTCAGCTGCTTCTTTTTTTCTTGAAAGTTGCTTAAACAAACAAAATGCACAGAAGACTGCTCTAAAAAACTGTGCAGAGTCCCAGTACAGGTCCCTCTGCATGGGCATTCAGGCATCCCTTCCCTGTCCCTCTTCTGTGGACATCTTGGCTGTGGGTAGCAGGTACTGTTGGTCTGCAGTTCAGAGCTCCTCATGCACAGGCACAGCTTTGTTAGTTTGGGGCTGCTGGGTGAGAGCTATTGACACTCAAACAGAACTATTAGCTTGCCCAGGTCCACGATGCTCCACCTCTCCTCTCTGGGAATGATTTCCTAATCTTTTGGTGACACCACAGAAGCATCTCAGGTCAGGAGCAAGTTGATAAACACTGCACCCAGCCAGGCAAGCACTGGAATGCTGGCACCTCCACCTCGTAGAGGTGTGACTTTGTTAAGTCACCTAACCTCTTGGGTACTTAAGAAGCAGGGTTGTTGTGAGGTGATTAAGATAGAAGAACATCTGCATCCCATTGGTTACTACCCTTGCTCCTACCATAGGACCATAGGGGTTTGTCTCCTAAGGATTTGGAGACTTCGCCCTAAGTCTTTCATTTATTCATTTTGCTCCTTTCTGGATCTGAGCTTTTAGATGTGCTACAAGTGCTGGTTTATAAAACTGCAAACCGAGCAAACTGTGAAAAGGCTCTGGAGGGTGTGACTGTTGAGGCTGTGGAATACATCACTCGTTAACAGCACTGCAGCTTGCTAAACTTTCATAGATGCATTCCTGAAGGCTGCACATGATATGTTTACTCTCCTAAGAAACAAAGTCATCAAAGTAGTGTGTCCTCTTGTACAGCATTATCACCATCCGCTGTGTACTAGTGGTGTTTATTTCATTTCTCTAGACAGTGGCTTATGTTTCAGGATAAGCCTCATGCACAGAGCTCATTGTGTCATTTCTATTAATGATAAGCAGAGGATAAAGGGGATGCTTTTTGAAGCCAGGTTACTTTAATATCCCCATAGTTTTTAAAGAGGCAGAGATTTGGGGAAAAGAAGCAAATATTTTGACTAATGTGGTTAAACAGTCTTTTTTATTGACAGGTTAAGATAATCAGGTGTTCTGTGTTTTGCCACTTCCTTGGTTATTTTATATTCTTTTTCATGAATCTAGCACAGTATGCTAAATTCCTCAAGGAAGGGCCACAGATAAAAATTAATATTAGAGACAAAGGAATAAGGATTCTGGAAAGGCTCAGTGTGTTTATAGTATTTCTTTTTTGGCAGATGCTAGCTTTTAACCCTGGTTTTAAAGACAGATGGGAGAAACAGTATTATATGGAGGTCCTGGAGGAAAGATGGCTACTGCCTCTTAAGGCCCTTATGGTGCAGTTGGAGCTTTGAAAATGTGGCCTTTTAAATACTGTGTTATAATTGTGAACACCATTAGTTGACTTTAACGAGAGCTTGAGTGTAGCAGTCCTCTTTGGCATTGCTGTGAGCTTGCACCAGGGTCTTGGGAAGCCCTGCATTGGCATATTGGCAAAGAACATCTCTGCTCTTTTTTCCTTTATGTTGCCTGTGGTAGCGATCCAACCCAAGGCCTTGCCTCTCATAGGCAAGTGCTCAACTGCTCAGGAACTTCTGAGAAAGTTTATAGCTAGTGATTCCTAGCCAAGCCATTTCTACCTAACTGTGCGGCACTACTGAGGTGGTAATGGAAGTGTGAGATATGTAACTGTGTTCTGATAAGTATTTGTACTTGGCCAGTGAGACAACTGTGCAGGAAACAACCAGCAAAACGTAGCTTGTGACCACATTTAATTTTGCCCTAGAATTATATGTCAGGTACTTGTAAAAAATGAAATCATCTGGCTGGAAAGATGGCTCAGTGGTTAAGAGCACTAGCCGCGCTTGCAGAGAATCTGGGTCTGGTTCCCAGCACCTACTTGGCGGCTAACAACTGTTTGTAACTCTAGTTCCCAGGGATCTGATGCCCTCTCTGGCCTCCACAGTCATTACATGCATGTGTAATGACTAAAATGCACGCAGGCAAAGCATTCGTACACGTACACTAAAAATAACTAAATAAGTAAATGTTTAAATGAAATTTTCAAGAAAAGTAGCATTGCCCTTGAGCACTGAAGGAGTAGAAATGCGGCTGCAATGAAGCATTTAATCATTTGATGATGTAAAGTGAAGCTGCCTAGAACCAAGGGGAGGGACAGCTTTTTTTTTTTTTTTTTTTTTTTTTTTTGGTCTTTTTGAGACAGGGTCTCCCTGTAGCTCCAGCTGGCCTGGAACTCACGATGTAGACCAGGCTGCCCTGGAACTCACAGAGATCACCTGCCTCTACCTCTCGAGTGCTGGGATTAAAGGCATACAGCACCATGCCCCAGCTATTCAATTTTTCTTTAATACAGGCAATTATTTAGAAGACATAGCTCAAGTTTTTCTAACGTTTGCAAAGTAAGTAAAGTTTTCGTCACTTAGGAGGCGGCTTGCTGGCTCCTCTGCTCAGATATCTTTAGACCTGGTCTTCATTTTAGATGACATTGATAAGGCTGATGGGACAGTGTAAGGTGTTGTGAGACTCAGATTTTGAGAGGCCTGAGAAGCCTTGTAGGTGTATAGAATAGAGCTCAGGTTCAGGCAGAAGGTGGAGGCAGACACGCCCGGTGTTAAGCATGTGGTGCCGACTGACAGTCCAGCATCACCCCTTGCTCTGGAGGAAATCATCATACTCACCTTTGGGATTTCTGAGTTTATTTCTCTGCAGGTCTTCATTATATATGTCTGTTGTGGGTTAGGAGTCAGGTTTTCTAAGGCTGTTTGCATTTTAAGTAGTACAAAACCTTAGAAGAAAATAATACTTTTAATAGTTGAATTTCAGACCTTCCTGACTGAACTGTAGGGCTAGTAAAGGAATTTTTCCTGTGTTCCTAAAATCAAAGTAAGTACAACAGATTAAAGAAAGGGAAAAGGATGTTGAACATTTGCAGTTAGTAGGAGCCAGAACTTGATGGTGAATGAATAAGTTGAAGAGTAAGACTTGTGGACATAGTTCTTACAGAGTGAATAGAAAGGACAGTGGACATTGTTTTGCTTATTTTTGAGACAGGGTCTCACTGTGTATTTCAGGATGACTTTGAACTTGTGATTGTCCTGCCTTGGCCTCCTGAGTGCCTCCAAGTCTGCCTGGAAATAAACCTTTTTATAGGAGGACTTAATTATAAATTTTGATTTATAAATTTTAAAAAATTGATAATTGATAAGCCAGGTATGGTATTACATACCTTTAATCCCACCACTTGGTAGGCAGAGGCAAGTAAATCTCTGTGAGTTCAAGGCCAGCCTGGTCACATAGTGAGTTTCAGGCTAGCTGGGGCTACATAGGGAGACTCTGTCTAAAAAAATTAACTGAAACTAAATTTCAGATAGGAATTTTTAAAGGAAGATTTTATGTGGTTCCAAGACTCAGAGAGAACATTTAAAAAAATCAGTTACAGAATCCATCTGCTTGAAGGACTAACCTTGGCAGAGCCCAGAAGCAGAGAGAGTCCTGTGCTGGATCATAGAGACACAGAGCTGTCATCTAACTCTACATGCTTACAGTTTTCCAGGCCACCTGTTCGCAGGTGATTTATATGAGCTGCTTGTTTCCTGCTTTCTCCCTCTGATGCTTCTGAACTGTATGCCTGAGGATATGGGAGAAAAATTGGGGCACATGAATTGTGTGCTCAGCTGTCTTACGAAAGGACACAAAGAATTCATATCCTTTACATCACTCTTACCCCCACTTAAACCTGCCATTTCAAAATTTCCTTAGGAGAACATTTCTTTAAAAGTATATTGTATATACCTTTATTTTAAAGTTAGGTTTCCAACAATACTTACTTTTTTACTGGAATATGGTGTCCTGGGTTTTTGCAGAGATAACAGGCTGACTTCCCTCCTGAAAGCATTCTTCCTTGACAGACTGGTTTGCTCTGCTCTGTGTAAACACTCCTGCCTGCTGACTAGTAGTCTGTATTTATGAGGCCCTTGGAAAACACTGCAAGCTGCAGAGTGACCATGAATAGAAAACTTAATTTGGCTTAATGTGTTTTGGCTTGCTTGACCTCACCAGAATAAAAATGTGCCTGCTTAAATTATTATATTGGAAGTTTAAAAAAATTCTTCCACTTAATTCATTGGAAGAGTCATGGGATCATTTTTAGCAAAGGTTTAAGTCCATGTTTAATACCAGATAGTCTTAAGAAATGTTTAGCTGAGAGCTTTAATAGCAGATTAGGTTACTGTGGGTTCTGAATTTTAAGTCTGAATTACTATTTTTTTTCCTCTTGCTACTTTTTTTTTCTAGACAACTGGCTGGCAACGACCTTTCTTTTATCCACCCAAAAGCTTTGTCTGGGTTGAAAGAACTCAAAGTCCTGTAAGTAATGCAATTTTAGAGTTTCACAGCTGGCTGTGTATTTTCTTTCTGCATAGTCAACATGCTTGGAGCTAGGTTAAGCACAGTTTCTTTTAGTTCAGGATTAAAAGATTTAAGGAGTGGCCAATGGGTAGTGGAGGAGGCTAGAGGTTGATCTGGGCAAACTTAGGTCTAGATAACAAGAGTTAAAACTAAATAATAAGTATTCTGATCTCCAAACATTACAGTTAAATGTTGAGTTTTTTGTGTAGCTATACATTGAATCAAAACCATATTTAAGTTTTATTGGTAGTATTTCATTTATACTTACTTTATAGCTACAAGAATTTTTGAATTAGGCAGCTCTAAAGGCATAAATGTTTAAGTGCTTCAAATGTTAAAAAAACATTTTAAAGCTAATGGAAATGAGTTGCCCTTGATTTAGATAGACAGCAAAGGATCAGGAAAGAAATTCCTGGCCATAGGAACTTGGAGGTTGACAGACCAAGAAACAGGTGAACCAACCGTCCCTACTTCTCCCTGGGGATAGCCACCAGGCCTCTCTAGTTCAGTGTGCTAGGTGGTCCCGTTATCAGTTCCACTCTGTGGCTATGATTCATACCAATCAGTCATTTTGTTCGCGTGACAGGAGTGGCTTTAGGTAAAACAGAACGATTTTTTTTCAGTGGAGACCTATGTTTCTGTTCTCCAGGTCCTGCTCTTAGATGGTTACAGACTTAATTTCTGCACTCGCCCCACAGATATTGAAGATGTTGCTGCTACTCCCAAGAGCCCAAAGTCTCCTCTCCTGACAAAATTGGCTTTATCTAACACCCACAGTTCTGGGCTCTGCTTTCTTCCAACTTGAAAAGGCATTAGAAATTCTAACGAGTTTACTTATTAGACATCCGAAATAATTTGTTATACTTTCAAGTTAACATCAGTACTTAGACTGATGAACATTAACTAGAGTGCCTTAATTCCCAGCAATGAAACAACCCCTCGAAATGTGTATTACTGAACAGCTCTATGTTAAGAGATGGCTTGGGATGGCAGCATACATTTCTAGATTTAAAACAAGTGCTTCTTGATTTTTAAACATTTTCTTGCCTTGGATACTTTCCACTCCCATCCCACCCCACCCTGCTTTCGATGCCACTGAAGATTAATTTAGAAAGAAATGACTCAGTTATCTTCTGGGGGGGGGGGTGACAATTGCTTATTAATCACTAATAAAAAATTTCCTTCCAGAACGCTCCAGAATAATCAGTTGAAAACAGTACCCAGTGAAGCCATTCATGGACTGAGTGCTTTGCAGTCTTTGTAAGTAACTTTTTGGTCTTTTGCATGCTGGAATTATTAGAAAGCCACTCTGGCTGCTAAATGAGTAAGGAATTAGAATCCTAAGAACAGGGGTGATTTATCCTCTTAACTGGGATGAAAATGGGGATGGCTAGTTGCTGTTATCAAAATATCCCTAGGCCAGGGAGAAGATGGTGGTTCAATTTACGTTTTCTTGTCTCAGAGGCTAGCTTCCATCAATTTATGCATGGCTGGTGATCACACCTGCTTGGAACTAGAGTTAAACTAGTGTGCAGATCTAGCATCATGTACCCTAACAGCTACAAAGAAGCTCCTGTTTCAGGCAGAAATAACTGGAATAAATTGAGTGTAATGCCTTACCCGTGAATCCTAAATACATATTGAGGATCACTTCATTGCCTAAGCTGCCTTCTTCCCAGGTTTTTCGTTTTTGATAAAAGCGTCTGTATGTGGCATATCCAAGGCTTCTTCTTGGTTTTTACCATGCAGAGTCATTAACTTTGAAAGCTTTTTCAAATAGCACTTCATTTATTTTTTACAATCATTATATACAAAGAACTCTTTTTATATGAATTCTAAGTGCATGCCTTACATTGGAGTTCATGGTAGGTAATGAGCAAATGGCTGTAGGGAGAATTTTAAGTAACTTGCTTAGCATCACATAGCTAGTAAAGGCACAGTGGGGATTCAAAACTAGACAAACCTGTTTCAGAATCGTAATTAATCTGAATTTCTTAGCTGCGGTTCTAGTAGTCAGCATGAGGCAAATGTGAGAATAAAAATACATACTAATAAAACACACATTGTGAAAGTTAAACTTTAAATGGTATCTATCATAAACAAGGAGTATCCAGATTTAATT